AAGCAAGATATGTCAACAGCGGGTCAACTGCAGACCGGCGGTCAAACTGAGCGCGTGAATCGCGTCGTCGAGGACGTCCTCTGCGCAGCGATCCCGATGGGCTGGAGCGCCATGCTGCCACTCGTAGAGTTCACTCTGAACGACACAGCGCATTCATCTACCGGCTACACGCCGTTCTACGAGAACCGACTTGTTCATCCTCGCGTTCCGCTGACGCCACCATCTCATGTGATAGGGCTTGGTGAAGGAGGAACAATCGAGCGGGTAACTGATGTCAGCCCTCTCACTGTTCGTCAAGAAGTCGATGACTTCCTGTCTACCAGTCTGAGTATCTTACGACACGTTCGCGATGCGATGGCTGTAAGCCAGAACATGCAGAAGAAATATGCAGACGGAAGAGGTAGAGGAAATGTTAAAAACTTTAACGTCGGAGACCTGGTTTTTTTAATGCGAAAAACCTTCCTACACATGCAATTTCTGCAGCCTTAAAGTCGAAGCTCCGTCCAAGGTTTATCGGACCTATCAAGGTTGTGGCTAAGCGGGCTCTTGCGTATACCCTCAACCTTCCAAAACGGAAACGTATCCACCCGGCTATTCATGTAGGCTTGCTCAAGTCGTACCAGGATCCAGGCGCAAGTGAACGCGGAAGCGTTGGCGCCGAAGCGGGAACTACAGTCGCTCGGCCACCCAGAAGCTGGACCAGCAACTGATTTTGATCACGGAGTGCAACAAATTCCATTTCCAACGGCACCAAACAAACCACCTTCGCATGAAGCGACGCATTTGTCTGCGCTTCGGGTAGGGGCCGCTCCGACAGAGCGCGATATTCCTCACCGTAAGGCAGCCGGTGCACATCGTACTCCAAGCTCTTTAGGGCTTCCGCACAGCGGTATTCAGCCTCAGCATAATGCTCAGTAGAGTCCAGATCGCGACAGCCTCGTTCTCAAGAGCCCGAAGAGCATCGCGAGTCACCGGACGGAATCGATCCAGTCATCAACGTCCGCCACCGACTCTTCTCGACGAGAATAGATGTGCCCACTATCATGTGGAACGTCTTGTGGGTCGACGCTGTCGCCAGGGTCAAACCCAGTATCTTGTGAGGTAGTGGGGATGCCTCGACTCCGAAAACTCGTGTGAGTGCGAAGTGCCACTTCGGCAAGACTGCCCAGACATCGTGGACGCTTATGATCAGAGGGAGCATGACGTTCGTCGTCGTACGCCCCGCGCTTCTCGGCAATAGTCAGGGAAGCCAAAGGGTCAGTTGAGCTTAAGCTATGGCTTTTAGCAGCTCTGGTCGCAGAATTACCCATGTGAGAGATACCAGAGCTCGCGGGAGCGTGATGGATTAACTCAAACGTCGCAGGGCGACAATCCGAAGGAAATCAGCGACGCGTCTTGAGTTTGGCAAACTCAAGCCAAAGATGGCATTTCACGCCTAGTTGTGGCTCAACTGCAAGTTGTGCAGCGAGGAAATTTTCCGGTGCCACTGCACCAATCACTCAAAGAGCTCTTCGTCATATGCAGCGGTTTCGCCAGGAGCGAGCACCACAGAAATTGTCCGTATCGCGGGTACAGGATCGCCTCCTCTTTGAACACGAGTCGAGTGCGGTACGTATCCATTGGGATGGTTTGGTATACCAAGCAGCGAGCACAGGGAGCGTTTGTTCGTCAAGGTCAGCTTGTGTAGTGGCTAGGGTGCAATCATATAGATGTCCAACGATCGAGTGAAAGCGTCCTTTGCTTCTGTGACGGAATTTGCCGAGTGTAAGCCATATTCCAGATGAGGGTCAAGGACCGACCGTGGACGCGCGCGCATGGGATTCGCCCTGAGGACAGCTGCTTTTGTGCCTCGTTGAAGTCACTGGTAATGATACCAAGTTCCATAGAACTTGAGAGGTCGGGAATCTGACACGGCGTCCGCAAGGCTAGAGCAGGGCGAGGTGTCACGTCGCGCTGCTCGGGAACCTCGCCTTCATCTTCTTCCCATCCTAGGAAAGAAGTATCCGACTCATAGTCGACTCCCCCAAACCTCGACCAGGTAATTATCGTCCGATGCGGTCGCGACGCGCGGTACTCGGTTACCGAGAGCTGGGCTACCCTTTCCTCGAAGCAGAGATAGGGACTTTACCGCAAATTAAAATGAGAAATATAGTTTACGTTTTCAAACGGAAGAGCTTAGCTTAAGGTTGTGATTACTCATGGAGAAAGTGGATCGCGATCCGCTCCAATTGTACTGGTTCTAAGTATAGACGAAGGCCACCGATCCTAACGAAGCTTCCTCTAAGCGAAAGAGCAACGGCAGCCCGCTGCACATCGCGTTCGTATTAAACATCGCGCGGACCTTTGCCCGCTGTATGTTTGATTGTTTCTCAATCCATCTCGCGCGTTTGTTTGCAAGTCCGATGTCAATCCTTTATCCACTGTTTTTTTCCGTTTTTCTCTTGCTCCAACAGTATTGGACAATAACATGGCTCTTACCGGCAAGCATTTCACCCTATAAACTCTAAGACTAGGCCCACTTCAAAAGATTGTTTGCTCATTTGTCAGCCTCTCGCAGTTCCGCTCTTGTTAAATACTACCCCCTTCCTTTCTTGCTGCAAATATACTTGATTTCCTTTCACAGCAAACGATCATCCCCATGATGTAGACCAATATCTGTTTTTCGAGGCGTCTTATTCCTGGCATCGACGTGCGCTGGGCATGGTGCGCTTTCAGCAAGCATCTTAAAATGTGAGTTATTCTTTGATTTGATTTTGTGATGCTCCGATTAAGTATCCAAGCCGCGTCTTCTGCCGCGTCTTCTGCCGCATTTTCAAGAAACAAGGAATTTTAACACACACAACATCATTTTTTGCACCATGTTCATTACCGTGCGCTGCACCCTCTCCGCCGAGAATGTAACGTCCTCTCCGCCACCATTGGTACCAGAATAAAAATTGCGTATAGCAATTAAAACGTCGCTTGATGTTCGTCACAAATTCTTCAACGTCTCGCAATCGTATCCTTGGTCTTCGCGATGGACACGTTACAGGACTTGGATTATAATTGGTAAGATTAATTACATACCTGTTTTTCAGTATTTCCACCAGCTCGAATATAGCTCACATACCTGTTTGCCAGTATTTCCTACGGAATTTTTTCATCGGCCCCCTCAGGTCTAAGTAATCTACTACTCCAACCATGTCAATCGGTGCGTTGTTCCTCAAGTCTCTCCTTGACGATTATTGATTCGATTGTTTGCCATGTGCGCACGCTCTACTTTGCTCGCACTTCATCCGATAGACTTGATTCCAGTGCCAGAGTCTACGCCATCTTGATATTTGATTCGCAATTCAGATGCACCATCCGTCTGAAACGCATTGATGACACTGGATACAACATTGTACTACACCTTTTTTGTTTTTGGTCAGCACCGACCTGACACCGTCCCAATGTAGCCCTCGCCATTGGAGTCCTTAATGTATGAATTGCGGGCACATGCTGAGCTTCTTACTAGTTATCTTTTTTTTCCGGCTACGACTTTAGGGGTGCCGTGATATACCCTTGGAATTCAATCACTATGTGTGGACTAATAATGCATTCAAATTCTTCGCGTACTCGACACACTCAAAATTCTTCGCCCAGTGCCGATGCCACTAACACCACGCTGCCTCTTCATCTCCCCCGTGGGCCGCTGTGCGCTCCTTGCTGTAATCATTGACCTCGTCCGATAAGTTAAGACGATCAGATGTCAATTGATAAGCTGTTTATCTAAATTTACGCTTGATAAACTCGATATTGCAGATCGTCAGCTCGAGATTCGCGTCGTCTCGTTAGCCCAACCCATGACTTCTTTCGGACGTCCCTCTTAAACTCTATTACCTTTTTACATCTAAACCGAATTCATGCTGTCCTTGGATCTTCTTGTGCTAGATTTTCGACATCTTTCCACAGCCTGATGATCTTCTTCTAACCCTATGTAAATTGCACGAAGTTCACCAGCTCCTCTGCTTGCCACAGATTGTCCGTCTCCATTAGAATTACCATTTTCATGATTCACACTGGTGGAGATGAGCAGGAGTATTTCAAGCAAGAGGTAGAGGCGATGAGTATTTACTTAGACGTCTATGTCGTGATGTGGGCTTCGCGAAGTCAAGCATCAAAGACGCGCGTGTCAGACGAACACCGATGCTAGTTTGTAAGTGAGACTATAATCCTCCTTCATTTATGTAAGATTTGATCAAAATATTGTTTGGCCCTTTCGCTAGCTCTAAGCATCAGTGATTCGGGCCATAGTGAGGAAGCTAACACACCCTACGAAACGGACACGGAGTGCGCGACTTTTAATGAGATAATGTAAGGAAAGTGTCGATCCCGGGAAATCGTAGACGGTGATTGACATGTCCTATTGGTTTCAGTGAGGGTCCAGGTGTTAGATAGGGATTTGTCTCGGCTGCCCTACCAATCATGGTTAGCAGGGCGTTGACGGCAGCATCTGCGCCTTTTTTTGTAGCTCGTTGAGCCATGCCAGTAAAATTGAAAAGTGGGCTTTCGATGTGAGTAAAGCAGAGAAGATTGTCCTTTCAGGTTCTTCGAACGGCCTTTGAGCTGATTATCTGTGTATTTTGAACACGGAGTGTGTAATTGAAAGCTTTCTCTGTATGCGATATCACGAGGACTCCGCTGCACTACGATACTCTTGAAAATATGATTGATCATGCTGTGTGTGTTGTGATGGAGTCATTTACATCGACAACGGTAAGATTTATATGTCTTATGTATGCAATATAAAATTTGCTGTCGCTCTCGGACGCTTTTCTAGTGTTTAACATAAGGCTCTGCTTTTATTGGGTTTGCAGAATGCTACCTATTATAATTGAAAGGTTTAGGTTTCTCAAAAAAAAATTGTTCACCAGCAAATTTGATAAAACTTGTAATAAAAACTGCCTTTAAAACCTGATACACGACATAATTCCTCTCGAGCTTTTGCATACACTGGACACCTGACAAAAAAATAAAAGTTACGTGCATAATTCACGTGACATCATCGATTCCAGCTCAGATGGAATACTTGATTCTCTTCGTCGCCTTTCCTCTTCCATCGAGGATACAATCTCGCTGCTAGCTTTTGCAATCGCTTCAAGATATTCTGGCTCCAGCTCGGATTGTGAACCTCCAAATTCAAGATAAGACGGGAGTGAAGAGCGATCACTCTCACAATACTCAGACAAGAGATTTGGGAGTGATGGAAGCTGGGAATACTGACGATGATAATTAGGAACTTCATTTTGCGTCACCATGCTCTCCGAGAAGTTATTTTTTTCTATGAGCGAGCTGATAGCTTCGTTCTGGTGGGGAATCGCAGCAGCCCTATGATGTCCTAATGGCACTTTTTCCGAGATTGTGGCTTGCCAGTCAATTTGAGACGACGATGTTGAAGACTGGCTTTCACTATCGTCATCTTCGACGTGTTGCACATCGTCTAAATAAAGGGGTGATAGTAAGTCGCTAATTCGAGGTTCCTCCACGTATTCAAGTCCACCATTTTCAGAAAAGCTTTCTTTCGTCCAATGTTGCAAGTCTGCAAATGAATTGACTGTTTGAACACGATTATCGTCCTTGCACATTAAATGAGGAAGGTCCTTCAAGTCCATGTCACTAAAAGTGTCTTCATCAGCTAATCCAAACATTGAGTTTGGCCGCAACAATCTGTCAACAATGTCACTACTGTTCATGCTGTTGTTTCTTGGATGTGCAGACGCGTCGGACTTGGTCTGCACATGTGCAAAATTAGTTGATCCCTGCTGAAAATGCACTGATGTTGGTGATACTTCTTCGTGTTGATAGTATACGTCATTGTTCTCAACTGATACTTGTAACGCCGGTTTTGATCCACGAGAGCTTCTTTGAAAAGCCTGGAAAGCACTAATTGAGAGATCCGAAAGATCTCGATACTCGTAAACTTCTTCAGATGTTTTCTTTGTGGAAAGCATCGAAGCGATCGAATCCTTGCGACAGCTAAGATTGTTCGTCGTCACTTGTCGCTGATCTTGACGAGATATCTGCAATGGCAAAACATCATATGGAGGCCGATCATCGTCGAATGTTCGTCTCATTCGTCTGGAATTTTTAATCTCATGTTTCACTTGTCGTGTATCGGAAATGGTATCTCGACTGTACAATTTCATGCTGACACTCTGGCAACGCTTGATTTCTCGTGCATAGACTTTCATCATCTTGACAAGTGCCACTTGACGTGTTTCCTCGGCCACGTGCAGATTTGGACCGCGTTCTTCTTCATATAATCGCATAGCGGACATTGCTAACCGAAACGCTTCATTTTCTGGATCATGAAAATCATCGTTCCGTTGATCTTGCCCACCGCGGTTCGAGTTATTCATCAATAAAGTTGGAGATTCGAGCTTTAATTCGGCTGGTTGATGGTGTGCTGGTACGCCAGTTCCATTACTACTATCCGATGCCCGATATCTTGGTATCTTCCTGTCAAGGGCTGTTGTCGTATCGGCATACCGACGCTGTGTAGAAATATTTGTAAGTCGACGGCGTGTCTGGTAAGTAACGCTCCCTCGTTCCTCTTCTACGCTATTGTGTCGACTGCGGCTTCCGGTTTTACCATGATGACTAGGAGATACGCACCTTGACTCGGCAGTACTTCGAGATCGAGAGCGAGATCGGTCTTTCGACAAGTCGGGTTTCGTCACATCATCATTTGAATGGATTCTGGTCACGATGTCACGTTCAAATCGAGTATGCATCCGTTTCGAGCCCCACTGAAGAGATTCTTCTGGTCCGCTCCCTACAAATCCATAAACACGAGGTCTCGATGGCGGAATATTCATTTCCGATTGATGTTCCATTTCACATTCCAATAGCATGTTGGTCTTGTCGACTTCCTCCCTTTTCGCATCCACTGGATCTTTCCATAACGTTAAGTCATTGGTACTTAAGCTTGGACTTTCAGCCTCATCAAAAGCACCTTTCATTTCAAATGAAGCCATTGTCTTCAAGTTAAAGTTTCTTAATTCTGGCTTGACTTCTGCGTTCTCCCTTGCTTCCTTCAATAGATCTTCAAACTTCAGATTTGTACGCTTTGCCGCTTCAACATCCGCCAATTCATTGGCATCCTCATCGACAAGAAGAAACTCGTGCTCATCAATCCAATGCGGTCGATTTTCAAGGTAAATCATTGATTGACTGACACCAAGATTTTTTTGCTTGGTTCCATTCACCACTATAACCGATTGATCCATCATGGGTACACTTTTCCCAAATTCCGAACATTCGACGCAAATTCGCACTTTTGTCGGACCAACAGACTCTGGATCAAGCAAAACCACAGTACCACACGAATTACACACCACTTTGCCGCATTTACGGCAGAGCCGACGTCGATGAAATAAACCAAAGCGTATATCACACAATTGACACCGAGTCACGAGTTCTTTTGCTGGCAAATCCTTTTCACCTAATAACGTTTCCTGGGCCAATCGTTGGCGCTGAAAGTAATGGTTTACGTAGGCAATATTCGTAATACGACGCTTCATGGTTAAGATTTTTAACCAATTTGGGGCATTGCCTTTGATATCCACATGCAATGTATGGACAGCATCCACATATCCCTTATCAGCAGACTCAGTAAATATATATCCAGACCGATAGAAACTACCACGAACTAGATTGTGACTTCGAGTCAAGGGAGGACAGAATGGCAGTCGAATCGAGTGCATGCTTCGTACCCAACCTCGTCGCTTAGTATTAGCGTCAATAAACTCGTCGTGACACTCAATGTAGCAAAAGTCACGACTGCGTGCGAGTTTACTTGGCGATTCGACTGCCGTCCACTTGACTGCGACGTAATGCTTCGGATTATCTAATGTTGGTGTTGCAAGAGTTAATAATGTCTTTTGGTCGAGCAAGTCTCGGCCAACAGTTTGAGTAAATCCTGACAATTTTTCGGGTGTATCGAGCTTAAAAAAGTCTGAAATTTCATCAATTGTCGCGTGAATCTTGCACGACCCTCTCAAGTACGTAAGTCCTTTCGCATCTTGCTGCGCATCATTGGATCCCGAAATGTCAACACCTTGAAACACATCGACACCGTCGTTTGATGACAAATGGAGCCACTTCATCGGCCCATCCTGATGTCTTGAATAATACACGACTTCTTTACACGCATGCTTCGCAAGTCCAAGTAGATATCGATTCTCCTTGGCACTCAGCTGCGGGACAGGAAAAAAGTCGTTGGGTAATGGTAGTTTGCCTGGAATATAGCCTTCGGCCGAGCTATTGTAGCCATGTTTGAGATTGGCGCAGTTGGTCGAGTTGGCCATTGACGAGTCCAACTCGAATCGAGCTGAATTTCGTGGAGAATGTCCTGATCGACCGGAACGCGAAGTTGAGTGCGTTGAGCCACGAGTGCAGCCTGCCACCATTTTAGACAGGTCCACAACGGTTACGAAGGTGGACTCGCAAGTGACACGTAACCTCTTCCACTTGGTCTTAGTTAGGTCCCTTGCTACAGGTTGACTGACAGCTAAACTGTATCAACCACCTTACAAATGACGATAGATAGTCGGAATAAAGATCACGATAGACGATAGTCAGTCGGAATACAGAACACAAAGAGGCTTTGAAACTAAGCGGGCGCATTAGATAGAGAAAGCCAGTTGTTCAGACGGCGACAGGCTGACTAATGCCAATACAGTAGACGGTTCCGTTAGGGTCGACATGGGTATCAATTCAAAATTGGTATCGACGAGCTTCATCAGCGTGGCTTCAACAGCTGTGAGAATTTAACTCACTGCGGGTGATCGGACGTTGTAATCTTAGTGACAGATGTGCTACCAAAATTGCGTCTAGTTACCAATTAGAACATGGAAAAAGGAAGACGACTGGGTCGAACATTTAGAACAAAGTAGGGTCATAAAGCTCTTTTCGACCAATTGATATTTTTAAATTGAAAAATAAGCACACTCTATTGGACAGACATTACAGTCGCACTTTTTTTTACTGGTGTTGTAGAAACGTGAAGGATTTTACCTACTGATAAATTTAGCATTATTCAGAATGTATCTTTCATCAGCGCAAGTTTGCTGCTTAATTACTTTCAGGTTACGCTTAATCAGGTAACTAAAGTTTTGATTATGAAATCTATAAGTCATTTAGCTTGTAGACACGAAGTGACAACTTTTGATGGATCTTACAGCTGGCGTGAGGCAGAGCGTACATCAAAGTGTGTAATAATAAGGACGTTCCATTTAATGTTTCGATAATCATACGTCTCTTCTGGTGATGAGTGCCATCATCATAAGTGCAAGCGAATCTTTTAAAAAATCTGACTCATTCTCTTCATAAAAGTTTGAAGAAAGATGTCTAGCTTTCTTAGCGAATTCGATTCACTTCTTCATACGTATATTAACAACGGTAACTTGTCAAGATCATTATCTCATAGTTGTCGTTGAATTGGACTAATGATCTATCTAGAAAAATATACGCACGAATTTAAAGCCAATGAGCAAATGCCTATTTCTAGATTACAAAAAGTAGACACGAACGAGTATGCAGTACTGGATCGTTATTACAAGAAATTGACACAAGCAGCGAGTTGTCTGTAACGATCGCCTCTGTTCTGTTTTTCCGGGCGAAATGGACGATTTTCATAGCGCTACGACTATTGTTGATACCAAGGATCAAAACGACAATTTCTATATATCCGTTGATGTCTTTAATTCTTCAGCATCATCTTTTGCTCTTAAACACTCACTCATCGAGTGATGACTTTATGGTACACATGAATCTGCAATCAATCAGCACAATGCGACAAACCTGAGAGCACTTAACTTCTCGTTGGCAAGTTAAAAGCAAGTTTCTAAGGGTTTTGAGCGAATCTTAAAGTCTTCCTTTATCCGTCGGATGCATTCGAATTCAAGCTGCATTTCTAGAAATCTGAAACTCGTCCACCTTAAAATGCTGTATCTTCTAGACCCTAGAAACACATGTTTTGAAGTCAGTGAATGTAATTTGCCTGAAAACACATGTTGTTTGCACAGATTTCCTTATACCTCCGGCGTGACCATCACCTGGGGACTTAAGTGATAAGTAATGGTAGACTACCAGCTATCTCGATCGTCATGTATACGCTATCCTACCAAGATGATCAACAGAGCGCTGAGTGTTTAAAATCAAAAATCAAATTGTGGAATATGAGATGAAATGATGACGAAACTGTAATCTAGTGTACTTAATGCTGGTACAATTGAATTCAGTACAATATACAATAGATGCAGATATAATATTGATAAGTAGAGAATATGAAGAGTCAGTCACACGTCAGAAAAGAAATGAGGTGAATGAAAAATAAATATATTTAGACATTGTCCGAACGTGATAAATTTTAAATATATGTACTCTTCAATCTTGGCGACCCTATAGGATCTCGATTTCGCTCCTTGTAGAAGCGCAAGAGCCCATCCGTTGCGTATTTATAGCGCGGGCTCTGAGAGTCGAAGCTTCATCAACATTTTCCTATTTGCAAGTTCACAGTGACCCCGTTCCTCGTGATAGCACTTGTAGACAGTGCAGCGGGGCTGTCGTAGCTCTTTCGCTTAGAGGAAGCTTGGTAAAGGACGGTACTATCCTTCTATACTTAGAAGTAGCGAATCGCAATTCACTTACCTCAAGAGATATTACATTCTAAATCAAAGGCTAATTAACTCTTCCGTTTATACGTAAGCTGTATGTCTCATTTTATTAGCGGCGAAGCCGACTATGTCTAAATCTACAGGTTTATCTATCTATATAGCGAAACCTATATAAATGTAAAAATACTGGCTGTTCAATTAACGGTGTAACACGAACCTTGGTTTGAAGGGTGAGTCACACAAAATGGTGTGACGACACAATGATGTGGCTACACCTTAACAAGAAGCCAGTAGTCATGCATTTTAATTAGGTTT